AATGCCATACAGTTAAAAATAATAAAAAAATATATTGTAAAAAAAAAACGAGCGTGCGCGTGTGTTTATGTACTTAGTATTGTGTAGATATACCGCCATATTAAGCACGGGCGTTATCCGAGCACAAACACCTTTATTAGCCGGCCAGATAATAATCCTGAGAAATAAAAACGGATAATTAACACGAATAAAATTAATATTTATATTTTATAATAATAATAACGCGAGACCACCGCGGTCGCAGCTCTGCATAGTACGTGATATTACCGTACCCCGAACTAACGTGGAGTTGCGAGGCGGCTGCGTTTGATGCTATCAGCATGTGTTGTATATTCTGCCAGGGTACAATATATACACACACACAGACACATGAGAAAACAACAACGTGTGACAAAAAATCGCGTCTACTGCCACCGATAACTCGGTAGTATTCTATAGTCGGCGGCTCTGCGGTATTAAAGTAATGATGATAATAATAAATAATAATAATAATAATTAATAAATTATGATAGCAAGAATCAAACATACGCATGAGTACCGAAAAACCGCGTGGTAAGCGACAACGAATCGACAGTCTATGGTAATATTTGAAATCGTTAATGGCCATTTTAGTCGACAAGAATGTGATCTAAATTCTATATTTGTTGACAAAAAATAAATTAGATTAATGATTAAGTTAAAAATAGCAATTATCGTAGTTAAAATCCGTAGTTATTTATTTTTTAAGCGATTAACGATTAAAAACCAATATTATTTTATTTATAATAATATTTTTTTTTATTTACACCGATGTCGATATAGGTCGAAACCGGTATAAACTTGAGTTTGATAATAGATTGAAATCGGTAAGAGTACGGGATTATGATACACGCACTTTATGAATGTTTTTCAAAGATTGAGATCGAGACGACTCGTTAACACACCGGTTGGCGTCAAAAATCCGACTAAATGTCATTATTATTTTTTTAACAGAAGAAAATTATCGACCGACCACGAGCATCGTTGTCGACGACAAGCATTCAGTGGTTTTACGGTTTTTCACTAGGCCCCACGGACGCGACTTTCTGTCGTCACACTGATACGACATACGACACAACATCACATAAAAACCGTGCAACGCGCACATATGTTTACTCCGCAAAGATATTCCCAAGATGACACACACACACACAACCATTATGTACGGTGTAGCAACACATGTATGAGAAGAGAAAAACATCATAGACCGTATTGTATGTATTATATATTATGGAAAAAAAATAAAACAAAAAATATTTTTAAAAAAAAAACAAAAAAAAAAAAAAACTGAAAAAAATCTTATATTATATCGCAGTTACTCGGGTTTGTTTTTTTCACCCTCCCACTAATCGAAATCGCCTGTTCGTATAATAATATATATGAAACATAGAAATCGCTGCTGTATTTATCTGACTCTTTCTCTCTTGACGAATTCAATACTGTTTAAAAAAAAAAAAAAATTTAAAGCATTCTCATTGAAACGTCAAGGTTTATATATACATCCTCCATTCATTATTGTAAGCATAACGATGAACGGCAGCAACAGTGAGGGATGAATATAATTTGTATATGTTAGATACTTACACACACGCGCGCGCCCGCACGCATGATAATGGTTGACCCTGCGTCATTGAACCAGTCGTCATCGTTGTCGTTGTCGTCGTCGCCATCGCTTACAGCCTATATATGCGTCGCGTCTCGTCTCCTAACTATATTACTAATTCCCAACGAAGAATAAAAAATAATAATATAATAAGACCTTCACAACCCTTATTTTTGTTTATATCCAAGTTGTTTGACCTTGTGGACAGATAATGAAAAACAAACCACCCGGAGGATTCTTGGTCGCACAAGTAGTTTCCGGTTAATAACGTAAACACAAACCACAATGTATTATACCGCCGCCGTGTATATACACATAGACGGTTTTATGGGAGGCCTGAATAGTATAATATTTTCGAAATTAACATTTTTCACGTGTTATACACATTTCACATTTCCTAGGGACATGAACGTGTATTATAATAATATACGCAGCGCACATAACAACGACGCGGGACGACCACATCGACTGTTGAAATTATTATGTATACGGTAACGGGAAGAGGGTGTCGGGCATAAAATCGAAACCAAGACATTAAAACATAACTTAAATAACCATCACCGATACAATTATTTTAAGTACGTTTAAAGTGTTCAAAACGAATATTAAGTGTGTTTTATCAACGATATTTTATGCATATATGTCGGCGCGTATGCGTCACATATATCATATACATAACGTCCGTCGCATCGCCGTCTAGTTTTGTCTTGAAAATGTTTTATTGACACTTTTTGATTTGATATAAAATATATATATTTTTTTGTTTGTTTAGTATTTTAACGACGACAGAGCAGTCCACTACACATACACACACAAGTATACGTATATGTGGGTACTGCTGCAGAGGCAGCAATAAGCATCAAAACGTCCGCAAAATCTGTAACGAATTGCAATCGACAGCGGCGGCATCGGTGACTTAATCGGTGGGAATAAGTATAATATTATGTAAATGTTGTGAATATGATACACACACCCGCGCGCGCGCGCGCGAAGGGGGGTAAGGATGTTGGAAGTAATAGAAATAATAATAATGACGATACTATTATTATTTTAATTAAAATCATTATCATAAAAAAGAAAACCATATTTCATTCGGCATGTTTCTTTTGAGATTGTTACGTGGCATTTTCCACGAAGTGCGCGCATACAGACGTGCGAGACAATGAGACGCGTTTCGGACAGTGCAAACGGCAGTGCGGCGGAGGTTAATACATAATAATATATATTAGCTATATACATGTACGCTGGGACCACCTCTATACACGGATAAATGTCATCGTGTAGCAATAATCAGCCGCCTCCGATTTTTTTTTTTATCATCATTATTTATCGTTTTTATTACGACATGCGCTATATCGACCGTGCGAATCTGGCCAAGAATTAATGTTGAAAACACGGTACATCGACGAGGACATCGTCTGATAATAATACTACATTATATCGATCGTCTTTCCACATGGAATATAATACAATACATACCAAACCAAAATCCATAATTACGATACATGAATCCTTTGTTTGTACTCCGAATTGTATGAAAATATTGGCTGTGCATGAATAGATGCGCAGTGTGGAAAGAATTGAAAAACAATTTTAATGTATGTTTTAATATCTACTATAATATCGTCAGTTATATAATGCGGTCGGGGTGGCGTTTATAACTATTATTAAACACATAAATAATTAGATAATAAACATAATAACGAAATCCCGCTTCTATGTAGCCAAATCGCTTACAGCGGGGGATGGATCTGGAACGCGACGAAACAACTCGAAATGTTCACACGCCGTCCCATGATTATCTTTATACAAACACCGCTCTATCGACTTTAAATGTAATTATGATTATTATACTTTGTTCAATTTTGGTACATATACGATTATAAATAACGACGACGGTCTTCCATTTATTATTTTATTGTAAGTATTCATTAATTTCTGTATCACTATTCATGGCGTGAAGGAGCATTCATCACGCTTATAATATTTTAATTTACATCAGTTGTTTAGCGTCAAGCAAATCCGCAAATAAAAATCCGTAACCCTTTTATAGAGTTAAGCATCTACATTTTTTTTTCAACTCACATTATACACAGACAGCGATACGCACACACACACACACACACACACACACACACACACACACTTGATGTCGAGATAAGATTGCAAGTACGGTTTAAACTACCACCGCTCAACGTAAACCGGTCCCTAAGCATCATGCCACATTGCGAGAGACCAAATAAGGTTGATATAATCAAGTATATACATATATATTGTATACATTTGTATAATACTCATGCGTGCCTTTATAAAAATAATATAATTATTATTTTCTTTTAAATATTTATAATTCACTTGAAATGTTAGCTTTTTTAAGGTTAAAAAAAAGTCAAAATCTGAGAAATTATATAGCGGATATAGGTCGGAGAGAAGCCTAAATATATAAAATACATTCAAGTGACCATTAAATAAGTTATAATGCAAAATATAAATGGTTACATATGCAAATCTTTACATAAGTTCATTGAAAAGCACCTATAATAATGCATTAAGTTCTATACGCGGAGAAATACAGATGCATAATTAACTACTTGAACAAATAAAATTAGAAACGTTCGTCTCTATACACGAAATTAAATGCAATAATTTTTATATTTCACACTTAACACAATTTTAAGTTAAAATCGACTATATTTGGACGCCATTATTACTTTTAATGAAGTTTACAAATTGTTTCAATTAAGTATACACATATAAAAATAAAAACATTCGATTTTTTCTGAATGAAAAAATAAATAAAAAAACCCAAATACGAGTACAAGCAAAAGTTTTATAATAACAACAAAAAATTATGGTATTATAGGCTAAAATTTGATGCTAATAAATTAATAACGCAATATGACTAAGTCAAGTATTTTAACTTTCAAAAATAAGCTACAAAAAATTTAATTTTTAATTATTAACTAAGTACTTACTCATTATTATGAAAAAATAAAATCAGTTTACTCAAATCATTTTTAAGCCTTCAAATTACAATTACTAAATTGAATTGAAGACATACGTATTTAAAATTAAAAGGACAACAAAATTATCAATTAAACCACAGAAGCTACATTGTATCAATTGTCACCAGTCAAAAATCTGATAAAAAATAGTGGAAAGAAATTCGTTTTAGTTTTCCAATTTTGTAATTTTCGAAAATAACGCGTGGTTTCTATATTATGTATGAAATGAAAATTTTATTTTATTAAATTTTTTTTTATACTTCCATCTTTTTATATATGGCACCGCGTAAAGCATATCAATTATGACACAATATCACTATATACAATGCACTAAAATTAATTAAATAGTTATGTGTATTATTGTTAAGACTTACCTCTGGCGCACATGCCGATGAACGTGCCGCAGTGTTTGATAACAACGTCCACAAATGGCTTGGCCGTGTCCATGTGCAGTCTTTTAAGTATGTACCATAGAAAGTCGTGAGCCGTGATCGCGGACACGTCCCATTTCAAGATACTCAACAGGAGCAATTCCCACATCTGTAAGCCAAACGATGGTGTTATAGCTTATACAATGTTTATATACACATACACATACACATTAATATTATTAATAATAATAATAATAGTAATATTAGTAATAATAATAATCAATTAATCAGTCATTTGACGATTACAAGTTACAAGTATAAGAGTTCCCATCGTCATCAAGCACGATCGTCATTACCACTGCAGCAACAGGCGGCTGTCGACTAGCGGCGTCGGTGGTATGCAGGAAAACGTTTATAATAATATATAGTACATTCGTTCGACTACAGCACACCCCGCCGGGTGCACACATAAATCACATACTGTTTAATAATATATTTTTTTTTTATATATGAACCCAATTATTAATGTACATTATACTCATTACCCGTCTAGTAAGAGAGAAAATCATTGATGTATATATAAATATATATATATAACATAATAAAACAACATATGATATAAATAGGCATGCATACAGCAGCACATATGATGACGAGTGAAGGAGGAGGAATGGTATATCGACGTTTCAAAAGTCAAAATCGTTTCAAAACGAATATTTATCGTTGTATGATACATTTTTTACTTCATTTCTATTCAACCGTGTACCAAGAATTCGAAAATCACTGCGACCCCTAATACCGGTCGCGACGTGCTGTGTGTAAACGATGTACAATAAAATATACGCGAGAAGAAACCCTCTTGAGACATACCCAACATCACTTATAAGCGGATGCGGTTCGTGTGTATTTTATTATGTTCATCTTAAGAGTCAGACTCAGGACAACGAATTCAATTCAGGACCAAACCAGGAAATAATAAATAAAATTACATTATAAAATACAATGTTACGATGACCGTCGCGGAGGAGGTTTCGTTTTGTTGTTCTTTTGTGTTGCACGTTTCCCGCGAAGATAATACATAATACGATATACAGACGCAGTCCGACGGGTGTAAAGTGTACATTATACTTGCACGGCGTTCCGTATAGACAATTTAAGTGCTTTCAAGAGCCTGCATTTTTGATGAGTTCTTTTTTCACCGACTACAATAATGATTATTATTATCAATATATGACGTGATGATATTACTTTATTCATTTTGTTCTTGCGCGGACAATGAACACTATAGTGAAAACAATAATTTAATTTATATACGAAAACAAATGTAATAATATGTAATGACATTATATAATATTTATATATATTATTAAGTGGTATTTATTTAAATATTTTTGAACAACGTTTATCTAAAATACATCTTGGGCTTTGTGTTCACTATTACACAATTTAATTTATACTGTTTAAAATAAAATATGGTGTAAAAGAAAACATACATTTGGTCACATAAATTATTAAATCAGTAGACGGGCTAAGACAGTCACTAAATAAATTAAAGTCATTAAAAATAAAAGGTTCGTTAAATCACTTTAATACATATTATATTATACAAAGAGTAACAACTTATTTTACGGTTTAAAAAAAATACATAATATAGTAGAGAGTTTTAATTTTTGTTGGTTTGTAAACAAAATCATTACGTTTATTAACAGTATCATATAGGTAGTTAGGTACCATGTAATAAACCGTGTATACAAAAGATAAACACAATTTATTTTAAAAACTGTTTCCAAAGACACCCGTGATATTTTGGCATTCCTCGCTAATGAACGCAATGGTAGTAGCAAAGAGTCTGTGTTGGAGGAGGAGGAAGAAGAGAAACAACCGGAGTCAACTATTATTATTGGAACCCATCGACGACGATTGATCACAAACCGCGTAATATTCTAACAAAAAATCTATAAGCAATAGATCGAAATTGTAGTACGAAAGAAAAGAAGAAAAAACCTGGCCCTCGAGCCAAACGTACAGATTAATATTTCAGATAACATTGTCCGACGCCTATAAGATTTTTCCCCTTTAATAGCTCGTCGCCGCCGCCGCCACCGCCGTGTAAACACCACGGGGCCGTTCGATATCGTATATACATATATGTATTATATATTATTATTTATATGATATATATCTACAACCGGCGGCCGATCGACCTCTATATACCTATTCTATTACTTACTACTAATATAATATCTTATAAAAAATATAACGTAGATATATATATATATTTATAGTGTATATCTATCACTAATATATTAGTGCGTATGTGCCTATATACACCGTTTTCGATTCCTCGCATACCCACTATGCACGATCGACAGAAAAATGAAAAAACAACACGCATATTAAATTATATTACTATAATAATATATTACTATACTATCACTGCCGCCGTATAAAACCAACGGGAGTGAAAAATAATGGCGCACAATATAATTTATAACATTTAAGTATAGCGATAATAAAAAACAATAAAAATAACCCAAGTTTCACGTTCAGGCCCGTCTGTCCGTCGCTCATTAACGCGGGCGGATACACAATTTAGGCGCAACAATCTTTAGAGTGTACACATGGATGGCTATACAGAAATTATAATATTAGATGTGCCCATATACACATTATTATACGCGATACATTATAATTCACGCGCCGGACACGCCGTGCAAGACTTCAGAAGCCGATTATACAGTAAGTATGCGTAGCGCGTACCACACACTGCACGCAGCAGCGTCATTCGACGTGATCGACAGGTTACGCCTCCCCCACACATAATAGGTACCTACATTTGGAATATAATGGACGATAGATGCAAAGATAGAGAGAGGAGGGCACTGTAACACAACAGCGGTTTTAAAGACATTTTACACGACATTGTAATATTATATTGTACGCATTTATTATAACGCGAATACGATTTACTCCGACGCGCCCCGTACGGGTAGCAGCAGGGACAAATGACGACTTTTGTGTGACGAAATCGATGCAGACACACTGCTTTACATATTATATTATTATAAAACCTTCGCTTTTGTACTCGACAACCGCACAATATTATATTATGTACCACGACCGCCGTAGCCGGCGCTCGTGGATTTCTCTATGAGTGTCACTCGGCGTTTACTGCACGTGGGGCTTATCCTGTACAACAGGCTCGAAACCCGGCGGCAGACAGCGTCCTTTATAATATTATATGCGTTTAATAATGAGCAACGCGGCTAACGCATGCGCACTGACTAACCCGTTCCATTCATTACAAACTCGATCCGTTTTCGATTGACGACTAAAGACACCCATTCAAGGTCGACTTCTCTTCACCGTTTACACACAATATATAAATATATAGTACAACCCTTTTTTTAATAGTGTTGTCAGTCAGACCGGCGGCAGTCGTTTTATCCTGCAGCATTAATCTCAGGAATATATTATAGATATATACATACACACATACGCTCATATATATATATTTAATATTATATACCACCAACCGATGGTAATCAATTGAATACGGCTCAGCGTATCAGCTGCGGCCGGTCTTAGTCTCTTTCTCAAACGATACGCAGGGATCTTGAGGAAGATACAGGATTTTAAAGAGCGAGTTTAACAAAAAATGGTGAATTCGTATATGTTTATGCGTACAGGTGGACACGTATACGCGTATTGTTTCCTCGTTAAATCTCAAAAAAACGGCGTTATCGTGATTGAATATGTCTCGTAGATTTTATTTCTCGATACATTTGCCAAATATTTATGTGGAAATCGATTTCCCTTTACCTTCGAAACCACTTTCTGTGTAAAATTTATACACGTATGGTCGGTATATTATTATGTTTGATGTTACACAAACAATAATAACTGCAAAGGTATGCCCCACCGCGATAGTGCTGAAAACCGATGTTTAATATATAGTTATAGAAATACAGCGGCGAAGGATGAGAGAGAACAAGCAATGAGAGGAAGTTGACAAGGGAGAAGGACTTTTTGGAATGTGCTCGGTCATATTAATGTGTATATTGTGAGATTTTTGTCGAAAACGACGATGACAACGGTGGCGGCGATATTTGAACGAAGTATTAAGGGGGGTTTTATTAAAGAAAGGAGAAATATGTTTACCGAGAACGGCTCAACAGCGGCGGCGGCGGCGGCGTACAATCATCATGGGTGTGGTGGTTGCACCACTATAATACATACACACATAATACATACGAGAACAGTATATGTGTCTACCTGTCGTTTTGTTATTGTTATAATCATACCGTGGAATGGCCGCGCTGGTGGTAGAGCATATATATACCTCTGTATGTAAAAAGCATCGTCGTATACTACAACTATAAGCTATTAAGGGAAGTCGGGTCTCCGCGCCCCTGGCCGTCATCAAACGGAAAAATAATAATCACGACGAATATACCGCCGTCGCCGCATCGTTGAGTCGCATTTCGTCGTCCTGTGTGTATATTTTATATTATAATAAGTATTATTTGGCCGGGCTATACACAGGAAAATAGTATATATATACATCATCCACAGCGGTATTATACATATTGTATTATGTCCGTGTAACATACATACAGAACGGTCAAATCTGTACGCTCAAGATATCGAACAACGCGCGTTTTGTTCGACCCGATAGTTGCCAGTACATTGATACGCTACTGTTGTATACAAGTATAAAACCGATCTATTCTTCTATTGATTTTTTCCTATCTTCGTACCTACCAATATATCCTTTTTTTTTTTTCTTTGTTTCGATACTCCATGCAAGGGAACTTTAAAACTAAAATACGATGACGAAAACCAAACGAGATGACTGCATGATATATTTACAATATATGTATAATTTATATACTATCACCACACGCAGTGGCCCCGACCCCGATGTCTATCAAATAATCTATGTCATAACCATTTTTAAAGCTTAAGCATCTCACCCTCAAGTAATATTTACAAACAAATTACGTAACAATTAATTTACTTATTACATTTGTCATAGATAAAATCAACTTTCGGCACTTATGGATACACGTACCTATATATATAATAAAGCCCTCGGCGTGAGGTAGAAGACGAAAACGATTTTCGAGTACTTACCGAGTAAAAATTGTGTTTGTTAACGAAAGCGTA